CTCTAATCAGAAACTCATCACAAAAGTCTATAAATACAGGTTTGATATTTAAATGGTTGATTACTTTTAATACACACTTATTGCCAAATTATTCAAGTATGAAGATTGAAGACAATTTGTGCAAGAAGATTTAACCCTAATTCCACAAACCGAAACAGACCATATAATCGGACTGGTTATACTACCAGCCGAGCTCTCATGCTAACTGGTTATATTACCAATCGAGCTTCATGTTGTCTGTCGAGCTTTCTTACTGTCTGTCGAATTGAATATATTGTTGGCCGAGCTTTCCATGTTTATTAGTAATCTCACTCATTTTTAACTAATATGAGATTTCAACTTACCATGAATTCCTAACACCTTTTTCAAGTATAAATAAAGTGATCCTAACTTGAAGGAAATGAAAGTTGTCACACTTTTTTATGCTAATAATGAGGTAAACTTTAAAGCTGAAAACAACAAAACGTCCAAAACTTAAATTTTGTATAAGCATCAGCAATGATTATCAATTCTGTCTGACAAATTGAAGCACATCAGACTTATGAATTTTAATTTGTTCATGAATGTCATCCTTGCCTTAATTTTTAATGAAAAGCCATCAATATGGGTTTGCTATATAATATAGTGAATCAAGAAATACTTTATCTCCTTAATTATATTAATTTGTTTTTCCAAGAATAAAACAGACAAATTATATCTTTGATTGTGTAATCAGTAAATGCTTGGATCATTATTTAGATAATGAGTAGCAATAAAGAAAGTATGAAGAGCTTTTACTCACTGTTGGTGGACGGCAGGTTGTCCCCTGAAACAGAAAATAAATCATGAAAAATTGGCCTATATTGTTAAATAATAGAATGAGGAATTAACAAGTCAAAACAATAGAGAAAGCAAGAACAAAAGAGAAAGAACACTACTAAATATTTACTTACAGGTTGTGAATTTCCTAAGCAAGGTTGTTGCCACCAGATAGAGCCTCGACCATCAATGGACCCTTTCCCACTTATAATTAAACCATCGATGAATGAGAAGCCAAGCCATGTATTCGTGTGGAATCCAGAATATTCCGGTTTTGTTTTTGGTGCAACAATGTTCCCTGAAAGCTGAGGTCCCACAAAATCTTAAATTTTTACCAAGAAATATGACTCAGTTTAGGATCTTCTCTTATACTGTCTATACAATAATCTATGTATTCTCTACCACATAGTTGATCATTCATAGATGTTAAAGCTAAAACACACTCGAAATGCATACACATCGATACGAGAGAGAAGTGTGTTAAGAGTTAGTAAGATAAAACTAATTTATAATATATAATGTTGGAAGTCCCACGTCAACTAGAGAACTAGAGAACTAGAGATAAGGTCAATTCATACTTTATAAGTGGGTGCAAACCTCACTCTAAAAGTCGGTTTTGTGTGATTGAATTAGGCTTAAAGTCCACCTCTAACATATAAGTAGATATAAAACTCGTTTTACAAGTTGATTTTATAAAATTGAATTAGACTTGAAGTTCATTTCTTAATATAGTTTACATGAAAATTGAAACAGTAAAGTTAATGTTTTTTAACCATTTGTAAAGGTTGATGATGGATGGTAGATGGAGAATGAGTATTATGGATTAATAAGAATAAGTACCTGAATGTAGGTGTAATTGGATTTGCATGGACCACTGAATGTAGTAGGCTTCAGCATGAATGTTCGTTTTGCTGGTATGATGAGCTGAGATATGTGTGACTTGCTCTGACAAACGTCTTTCCATGCCTTCAGAAAGGCCTGTTCAAGAACATGATTTGGAATTGTTTTAGAATGGAAGAAATTAATAATCTGTGAAAACTAAAATTATGAGAGTTCATGATTATGATTTACTGGAGAATCGTTGGTTTGTCCATCTCCGACTGCTCCATATTTCAAAACATTGAAAGTAGTTGTTGTGCTGCTCAATCCAGGTGCAAGAACACTCAGAATGATCAACACTCTGAACAAAAACTCCTGCATGAAATTATCATTTTCCATGACATACAAGACTTTGTTAATGGTGAAAAAACTGTAAGAACTTTATATATACAAATCAAACATCATCAGCGAAGTCACTACAACATATACAAAGTTAACTACAATGTGACATTATGTCAGATTCTGACCATGTTATGTTCAAATCTTCAGTGCTCTTGAAGATTCACAGACTGATATATGCCATGTACGTACCCAATTTCTTCTGCTATATATAGACTGTAGAATGTAGAATGTGTGTATTTTGAAAGCAGATTTTAGAAGTTAAATTGGCTTAATTTTAGTGATAAAGTTATGTTTGGTTTTACTGATATTGGTTCAGTGCATTAATTGAACTGCACACAATCTAATTGGAAAACACATGGCTTGTGAAGACTAAGACATTGTTTTCACTGTAAGCACATGAAGCAGATGCACCTTTCTACGCTTTCTTCTGAACGAACGTTATGCTCCTTCATTTACACTCAATACTCAATAGTAAACTATGGTAAACACGTCAAAAGAATTGCTAACTTTTGGTTGAAAAGTACCTTCTACTTTGATTTCAAACCACGTTGTTCTTGATAATATATGGAAATACTCTTCTAAATATTTATTTAAATGAAATATAATCACGAACAATTTATTTTACAATATTGAAATATAATTCAAGACTGTAGGTAAAATATGCTGACCTAACATAAAATACTATAAATAATATTAAACATTTTTATTTACTGTTTCGGATGTAAGGATGATAAATATAATTACTTATTTTTTTACTTTAACTATATATTTATAAGTTTGAAAATAAGTTTTTAATTAAAATTGATCCATTATAGTCAAAAGTTTCTAAATGTGATTTATCTGTTTTTACTTATTAATATATTGGATTTGAAATAATAATTTTAATATGTATTTACCCATCAATCAATTATGGAAATGTTGAGTGATCATGACAACATTCTTTTAGGAAAATCTATTAGGAACGTTAACCGTTCGATTAACTGTGTAAGCGTTGTCTAAAGTGTAATATGGTATACTTATTATATAAATTAACTTATATATACATTCTAGATGGACTTTTGGACCAAAGACGAAAAACTAAATCACTCTAAATAATGATTAAACATATTAAACAGTTGAAGGAAATGCATTTTTCTGTAAGGTTTTGTTCACTTGAATGGATTTAGGAGGGAGTGATTGAGAGGATTTGAAGATAAATTTTTTTGTTGTTTATTTGAGTGGATTTTGAAATAAATTTTTTTAATCTGTCACATCAATCAAATCTTACACTAATTTTTACAAATTTTACTCTTCCAAATTCACTCTTACTTATCTCCAAATCTACTCAAATAAACTATAAAAAAATTTACCTTCAAATTTTCTCAAATTCTCTCAATCACTCTCCCTGAAATCCATTCAAGTGAAGAAAACCTAAAATATATTTAATATTTGTGAGTAGTGATGTTCTCCTTGGTTTCTTCTAAAACAAGACTAATAAATGAAAGATGATTTTTTTTTCATTATTTATAAAATAATATGAAAGATATAACGTGAAAAAGAATTTTCCTAATGTTGAAGATGCCCAAATCCACGCTCATTTTAGCTTTGGGTGGAACAATTTGTGATTTGACTTCAATCCAATTATTTAATTTGCACATGGGTCACGATGAATATTATATATTAATTACTTTTCTATTCAAAATCCTTTTATTTTTATAAGATAAGAAAATTCATAATAAAAAATTGTTATATGTGCTTTCTTAAAAATAACATAACCCTACCCTTTTGATTTAATTATTTCTTAGTAAGAAGTAAAAAGAAGATTTAAGTTTAAAGTCAAGATATATTCATGCGTGATTTAACAAAAGTAATACAATAGATTTTAACATTTTTCATTATACTTAGCATATTAAAAAATGAATTTAAACATATCTTATTCTTACAAATTCGGTATTAATCTTATCTTTAGTCTCAATCTTCAATATTTTTAAGTTAAAACAATAATTTCTGAAAATAATTAATCTAATTTTGTTATAATATAGAAGTCTACATAAATAAAATATGGTTTTGTATAAGTTAGTTAAACTATTTTTTTTTATAACTTCCATAGTTTGTAAAAAATAAAAATATATGTAATTTCAGTGAAAAATTGTTATTGAAACATAATTTATACATATAATTTTATTATATAGTTTGTTAACACTACTGGTTTTATAATAAAAATAGATAAAATGGAAATAATATCTAGAAAAATTAAATGAATAGTAAAAATCAATATGTAACAAAGTTTTGCCAACGTATAGTAATTGGATCAAGCAGTAGTAAGAATAGTAAAGTCTGGCTGTGTCTGAAGATTGATAACTAATTATTCAATAAATTATTTGGGTGTTGCTCCCTCCACCACCACTCTATACTTCCTCTACCTCTCCATATTATTTTAAATACAATTATATCCTTAAGTTAAAAAGATTTTTACTTTTACCCTATTTTAAATAATTTAAAACCCTAATTTTACTTTCCCAGCACCCACCCACAGAACTCTCTTCCCCTTTCCCCATTTTCGTTTCACCTCCCCACCTTTCGCACTTCCATTCCTTTTCGTTCCCAGTTTTTTTTTTTGGTTTGAAAGCTTCCATTGCCGCTGTGGTGTGAAGGAGCGTCACCACCGTGGTGTGGAGAAACATCGAGGAGCGTCTAGAGCATCAACCAGCGTGAGGAAGTATACATCAACGGAGGTGACATCCTTCAACGGATGTCCCCTAATAAAACAAACTCTAAAATAAAAAACGTAACATTTAAACGGATGTGACATCTTCAACAGATGTCAACATCCGTTTAAGGTAAAACGGATGTCGACATCCGTTTTTCCTTAAACGGATGTTGACATCCGTTTTTCCTTAAACGGATGTTGACATCCGTTGAAGGTTTTTCCTTAAACGGATGTTGACATCCGTTGAAGGATGTTGACATCCGTTGAAGGATGTTGACATCCGTTGAAGGATGTCACCTCCGTTTACGTTTTTTATTTTAGGGTTTTATTTCAAGGTTTATTCGAATACGAGGAAGCACTTCACGCACTGCACCACGAGAGCGACACTGCACCACGAGAGGGAGACTGCTTGATAATTGTTTCCACCACCACCAACCTTTGCAATTTGTAGTATCTCACAACGACGAAAGAAAGAGAGAAATAAATATAATGTTAAAATGAAAGAAAAATATTTTACTCATGTACAAGACTAGAATAGGTTATTAGTGAAATAGGTTCTGAATGGGTAAAATTAAAAAATAATAACCCTAAAAATAAAATTTTATTAAAGGACAAAATAGTAAAGGGATGATGGAGGGAGAAAGGTGTGATGGTGGAGGGAGCAACACCCAAATTATTTTCCTTCTATCTCTTCTCCTCAATTTTAACAAAAAAAAACTATTACAACACAATTTTATTTTCTAGAAAAATATAATAATATCACACATATAAGCAAATCAATTAAATTCTTAAAATAAAATATAATAAAATCAACAAATTTTTTTTTATAAATCGAAATACAACATCATTATTTTTTTATAAAAAATTCTGCAAACAAGAACTAAAATACACTATATATGATAATCAAATTTAGCACATATTCTCTATAAAGATAATTTTTGCGTATATGTTGAATTATATAATTAAGTTTTTAATTGACACAATGATCAAAATTCCTTAACACACGTAACATGCTTCATCAAAAGCCCAAAAGAAGAATGACATTTAATGACATGCTTCATCAAACTATGACTCTAAAAAGAAGACAATTGTAGAAAAAAAAAATCTAACAAATTGAGGTATGACTAATTTTTAAAATCACTCGCTCTTTAAAGAAGTTGAAGAGGAAGAGAAACAATGTTTCCTTTCAAAATTCTAAGCAAGGGAATCAAATCTACATAAGAAGAACAAAACATTAAAGTTTCATGTATTTTCTTCTTTGGATAAATCAGTTCTTCTATAAACATCCTTTTTCATATTCTAGAGTGTTGATTAGATTAAAAGTATCTATATTTATCTATAAGACGGTAGATCGTTATAAGAGAATACATAGCTGAAACAACGTGTCAGTTGAAGGCTGCATGGTAGACACAGATGGAAGCTGTCACGACCTTGTTTCAGCAGGATCATATGCAGTTAACAATTCCACAGTATTTTGCTTATTGAGGCACTATGTCAAACATGTAGTGGACAGTTGCCAATCAAATATCTACTAAAAGAACAAGCAATCGATCCATGCAAAAACTAAAAAGTCTATGGAATTTAAATAACAGATGGTAATAACCATTAAAGTGCAAGTTCATACATTAAACACACTCCAAAAGGGTGAATAGAAAGTCCATTATACTGAGCCCAGAAGAACACCAGGGTTCATGTTTGGACCTCTAATTATTTCATAGTGAAGAGAAAGTGAAAAAATCCCAGAGGGTTCAGGACTATTAACACTACACTTCACTTTTCTGCTGCAGTAGAAGGCAAATAACCACGACAGTAGTCAAAGCCATACCAAATACCATTAGGTATGTAAGTATTGTAGTAAAACGTAACAGGGTTGTAGCCATAGCTGTACACGGTCACTTGCTCTGGAATCCAACCATCGTATCCACTCCTGTATAGATACAGATAGCATGTTTGATACGTACACGGGCCGTGTATCTGAAATGTATCCGTAGAGCACCGCTCGAATGTCCCCGAACGAGGATCATCTAATCTTGGGACATAAACCTGATTCATTGATTGATCGATAGATTGATTATCCAACAAAATCACTGATCAGCACCAAATTAACCACCACACCCCCAATTTATATTCTCAATTTTCATTTCATGTAATATGCATAGAAAGTTCAAGAGAAATTCAGAAACAGATGAATGAATGACATTCATAAAAGAGAAGGAACCTGATAGCCATAAGCATCACCAAATGCAAGACTAATCTGATCTCTGGTGTAAGAGGGAGAATTGCAGCTTGTTTTGATGGTCACCGTGTAAGTGCAGGAACTAGCCGTGTTCTGTAAAACGCATACACATCTACCTTTAGTTTCACACGCAGTGAGAAGATCTCAAAAATGCTTCAGTTCACAATCCAAATCTAACTTCCCTTTCATATTCTCTGTTCTTTCTATGTTCCTTCAGTTAGCACAGTCGGTCAAACATTGTTCGAACGAAATTTTACATGTAAAAGCAGATGACTTTGAAGATTTAGTGTAAAGGATGTTCTATTTTACTTTCTGCGACATTTGTAACAGTAAAGAAACTTTGTTACCTGCGACTTGGCTTGGTTGACCTTGAAAGATTCATTGGCTTCGGGGTGAGACTGAGATTGAGATAGAGTGATTAATGGAGTTGCTGCTTGTGAGAAAACAGCGATGATGCATAGTGTGATGATGAAAATGAGAGATTTCATGGTACAGTGTGTGTGAGTTGCAACGTTGTTATGCTCGAGGGAGAGAACGAGGAACACGCTTGGCCTCGGACAGCTTTTCTTTTATTATCGCGGGACAGGAACATTAAGACAACGGGTAGGTCTCAACAATTATTCATGCTTTTCTTAGCTGTGATTTAATTGGATTTCTCAACTATTTATCTTTTAGTTTAATTAATAATTTAATTTTTATATTTAATTTATTTATTTTGGTCTTTATGTTTTTATTTAGTGGAGTATTTTTTAAAGATTTATTAAAATTAATTTTAAAAAAACCATAATTATAATATTTTACTATGATAATTTTTCTACTATCTTAATTTCAATATATTTAAATTATCATATTTATTATAATTGTTGTTCAAATTTTATATTCTCAATTAATATATAAATAATAAATTAAATAAATTTTTAAAATTTATGAGCGTGAGTTTATAAATGATTATAAATTTTTAATAAAATAATTTATTATAAATAAATATATAAATCAAACTAGAAAAAAATTGCTATAAATTCGTTTCTCAAAGAAACAAAATTTCAATTAACAATAGAAAAAATATGATTCGAATTTAATCTTTCATAAAGAAAATTGTACTTAATCTGTAAAAACGTATAGTTAAAAAAAATACTCATAATCTACTCATGCCAATAAAATTCAAAAATAATTTATATCAGTAAAAAAATGAAATTGGTTCTTTCTCCTTCTTTTTAATACAAAATTTAAATTTGATATCTGGTTAAAGAGAAATAAATATGGATTACTAAAATTTATAACCATCTTTTTGCATTTAGGGTTTTAAAATTTTAATAATTAACTATACGCGAATATAACAGTAAAAGATAAAGTAATTATAAATTAATTTAAACGCTCTTACACGTTCACATCTTCTATAGCTTAATTTGCATTTCAGATTTAACATATACTATTGACATTGTGCGACAAATACTACCCCATATTTTTTTCTGGACACGTAAGCAATTATTGAATATGATATAATAATAAGGACTAAAAAGTTTAAAATTTTGAGGGTTTTTTTTTAAGAAAACAATATTTTGTTAATTTTATACAAACTAAAATATATTTAATCGATTGGCAGTACGAGAGACCATTCTTTTTAATCCACATGGAATGAAGATTAATTATCAGGCCTACGTGAGTTATTATTCTAATAATTTAGATTTTGTTTATTTGAATGGATTTGGAAAAGAGTGATCGAAGGAATTTCAAGGTAATTGAAAGTAAATTTTTTAATCTGTCATGTTAATCAAATCTTATACTAATTTTTTAAAACTTTACTTTCAAATCCACTTTCACTTACTTCCAAATCCATTCAAATAAACAACAAAAAAATTTTACTTTCAAATTTTCTCGATCACTCTTTCCGAAATTCATTTAACTGAACAAGAGCTTATATTTTTTTTCTTTTTGTGTGAGTGAAATACTCTCTCCATTTCTATTTATTTCTTTTAAGAAAAATATTTTATGTGTTGTTTTAGAATTTCAATAATGTGTTTGTATATTAGGCAATTTAATTATTTAAAAGTAAGATTTGCTTAGCGATTAAATATTTTATATTTACCAATATTGGAAATAATCAAAAAAGTTATTTTTATTTTTGTTAAATACAAATGTCCATCGAGTATAATATTATATAATATTGTAAATGAAATTAATGTACAATTGACTAAGAAAATTAGTGATATGAAAAAAAAATTGTTTGATATTTTACTAAAGTGCAGTATTTAATTTGGGCCTCGCCGAACCCGTGGATTAAAAATAGTATATATTTAGAAGTGAAGAACTCCTGGTATGGCACGTGTCGGAGTCAGAAAGAAAATTTAAACTTTAAAGAAAATAACAACTTTATTAGATCATGATATTTTAACATGTCTTTTAACAACTTTTTAATAATAAAAGATGTTCATAGTCATTATTTTATTGATTTGTATATTTTAAACGGATCAATCACATATTATTTAAATAGGTTATTTTTCACATACTATATTTAAATAGGTTATTGTAAAAAAAAAAATGGTTAAAAAGACATTTTTTAATTCTAAAGCATGTTTTGAAGCTCCACAGCATCATAACGTGTATACAGTATAAACTCAGCCGGTAAAGATAAGTAAAACATGATATGTAGTGAAATAATTGGTAGAATTAGGTATAATTAATTACAATTATGTACAATTAATATATGTGAAAACGAAAATGAAGTTTCACAGTCTATATTAAGATTTAATAAAATCTGAAGGTGAATAAAAAAAAGAAAGTGGGATGTTAGGGATTAAAAAATGAAAAATAATTAGAATTTATCCTCGAAAAGATACATAGAAGGAGTGCATGGATGCATTGGTGGCATTAAGAACAGGGATGCTCTGTTCATTCCTGAAGAAGTTTTGAGGATCAACTGCAGTCTTAATCTTAACGAGCCTCTCAAAATTAGATTTGAAGTACTTAGTCCCATAAATCTGTCCTTCCTTGTAACTATTTTTACCAAAGGTGTTCAATCCTGTATCAATGTCCCTGTAGCAGAAGAAGGCGCCTCTGGGATTCTTTGAAACATAGGGTGTCATCACATTGAACAACTTCTTAGCCTGTTTCGTGTAATTCCTATCCGCCTCAACCGACGGATCAACCCAGTTCACAGAGTACTGAAGCTTGAACATGTTCCCTTTACGGTGAGGAAACGGCGTCGCGTCAGGAGCAATCTCATCCATTTTCCCTCCGTAAGGGTTGAAAGCAATCCCCGTCTTCCCCAACTCAACTATTCTCTTGAATATCGTTTCCCACCCGTCTTTTGAAATACCCTTCTCAATAAAATCAGATTTTCTTTTCAAGAAAATGCCGTTGTTCGGTTTCCGATCCAATAGGATCTCAGGTTTGTCACCATTTTCTAAACTCTTGGGATCGTTCCACCAAAGAACAGATTCTATCCAACTCACCTCACTGCAATTCTCCTTCTTCAACCCCATAAGGGGAAACTCCTTCCCCATAAGCGACACAACCTCATCGGCCCCTCCTAGAAACAAAGCCACAATCGTCGCTTTTAAGGTTTTCTCTTCTGGCTGCAACAGTAACCTCATGAAAAGTCTCTTGTCAGTCACTGATGCAATTTTCTGCCACCCCAACACAAAGTCAGCGGTCTTATTATCCCAAGTCTTCTCAGTGCGAAAAATTGTAACCTTTTCAGGCACACGAAGAAGGTTAATGGTAAATGACACTACCACTCCAAAACTCGCTCCTCCACCTCCTCTGATAGCCCAGAACAGATCTTCTCCCATGCCTTTTTTATCGAAAAGATTTCCTTTCACATCAACAATTTTCGCGTCGATCACATTGTCCACGGTTAAACCGAAACTTCTCAACATGTTACCGTACCCTCCTCCGCTGATATGCCCACCGAGGCCAACAGTGGGACACACCGCTGCGGAGAATCCATGAACTTTACTCTTCTCCCATATCCTATAATAAAGTTCTCCCGTGGTGGCTCCAGCTTGGACCACTGCAACCTCCTTTTTTACGTCGATCGTGATCGCATTAAGCTTGGACATGTCGAGGATCATAAAGGGTTCCTTGGAGACGTAGGAGATACCCTCGTAATCATGGCCACCGCTTCGGATTCTCATTTCAAGTTTTGCGGTTTTGGCACAGATTACGGCGCCCTGCACGTGCGATTCTTCGAGGGGAGTGACGATGAGTAACGGCTTTGGCGTCATGGGCGTCTTGAAACGCTTGTTTCGAGCGAAGTTTTGGATGACGGTGGTGAAGGAGGGGTTGTTTTTGGTGAAGATTATCTTGGATAGTTCCTCTGAAGCTGTTTTTGTGTTCTGTTTAAGGCATTCGAAGAAAGTGTCGTGCAGTGCAGGATCTGTTGCTGCTACCACCGACAGAGTGAGGACAGTTAGAAGAACATAACCACCAAAACAATTCGCCACTTTCGTTGTCATTGTCGTCTATTGTAGGTCATACATGCATACCTATACAAACCAACGTATCTATAGAAACACAAAAGAATAGAAAATAGAGAACAATAAAAATAGAAGGAAAATTCGTGGAAATGTAAGAGCTCTCTGTCAGCCTCACGGTTCGAACCAAAGGTTTTCCTATGTTTATCTGAACCTTAACTAATTATGTATCTTACTGTTAAAGGCGAATTGTATAGAAACTTTGAAGTGAATCTCATAAGCCATAAAAAGTAAACTATAATTAACCATTTCTTCACCTTTGCTTGACTTTTATCTTTCTCAAAATGGAATCTTAAAAGAAAAAGTTCGGACTTAGGCCCTCCGGTGCCAAGTTAGTATATAAGCTGCATTATCATTAAGAACGCTGATCTTTTCTAGATTTATTTTCACTATCGAGGTTCGGTTTTTAAGTTAGTAGGAAAATTTTTAATTTATTTACCTAATCCAGCTCAAACTTATGATAGTTATCATAATCAAAATGTTTATTTGTTACCTTAATTATTGTTCTTAGACATAAGAATATGATCTTATGATAGTGATGTCATGTAACATTTGTTCACATGTCAGAATTTATTTTTATAATGAATATAATAAATATCAGATAAAAGGTTTAAACTTTTTATTTAATTAAAATATACCATATATTTATTATTTTAGGTAAAATGTGTTAAATTTAAGTTACAATGAATGAAAAAATATAGAAGAATGAGATTCATTACGGAATTTTTCCAAAAGAAAAATAGATAGATATTTTTCATTAATGAAGAGACTATCGGCCAACATACTGTACCAACTAATCTTATTCAATTCCTTCTCATGTTACTAAAAAAAATGCAAAAAAGTAAATTATTCAAAGCTCGACAAGACCAATTTGTCAAAGAGCATGTCTTTCTATCTTTTATCATGAACATGTTTTTAAATATTTAACTCAAATTTCACTCGTATAAACACTTATAGATTTTTTCTCAAATATACTATCTTGTTTTTTATCATTCAAATTTCCTTTATCACTTGACAAATAATTCCAGTAACTTAAATAAAGAGTAAACAAATAATGTGAAAAATGTTGCGAGATTTAAATCTTGACTCAAGATATCAAAGAAAATACAAAATTATAGACAA